TTTTTTTTCTCTCTCAAAAAATGTTGCACAACTTGTTTACGTGTTGCTGGTTAAAGTAAAGCCTCCAGAAACAATAAACACCAGAATCTATTTCGGGGGCAACCCAGTTATTTCCCATTAATACTTGCAACCGTTATAACACAACCACTGCTTTCGGTTTTAACTGATTGGCCTTTGTCACTGTGGCGTGTGTCCTCGCCTGGGGGGAATCAACTTTTCTGGAGAATTGGATTTGAAATCCATTCCAACTAAACGAGTGTTCGTGTCTTAACCCAGTGAGCCTTATCAGTATCTACAAAACATGCACTTTAACAAAGGGGAATGACGCCAATAATGTTTGGAATTGAATTCTTTGTCAGAAGGTGTTACTGGATGGTGAATTGAATTCTTTGTCAGAAAGTGTTGATGAGTGGTGAATTGAATTCTTTGTCAGAAAGTGTTGATGAGTGGTGAATTGAATTCTTTGTCAGAGAGTGTTTCTGGGTGGCACATTGAATTCTTTGTCAGAAAGTGTTGCTGGGTGGTGAATTGAAATCTTTGTCAGAAAGTATTGCTGGGTGGTGAATTGAATTCTTTATCAGAAAGTGTTGCTGGGTGGTGAATTGAATTCTTTGTCAGAAAGTGTTGCTGGGTGTTGAATTGAATTCTTTGTCAGAAAGTGTTGCTGAGTGTTGAATTGAATTCTTTGTCAGAAAGTGTTGCTGGGTGGCGAATTGAATTCTTTGTCAGAAAGTGTTGCTGGGTGTTGAATTGAATTCTTTGTCACAAAGTGTTGCAGGGTGGCGAATTGAATTCTTTGTCAGAAAGTGTTGCTGAGTGGCGAATTGAATTCTTTGTCAGAAAGTGTTGCTGGGTGTTGAATTGAATTCTTTGTCAGAAAGTGTTGCTGGGTGGCGAATTGAATTCTTTGTCAGAAAGTGTTGCTGGGTGTTGAATTGAATTCTTTGTCAGAAAGTGTTGCTGGGTGGTGAATTGAATTCTTTGTCAGAAAGTGTTGCTGAGTGGCGAATTGAATTCTTTGTCAGAAAGTGTTGCTGGGTGTTGAATTGAATTCTTTGTCAGAAAGTGTTGCTGGGTGGCGAATTGAATTCTTTGTCAGAAAGTGTTGCTGGGTGTTGAATTGAATTCTTTGTCAGAAAGTGTTGCTGGGTGGTGAATTGAATTCTTTGTCAGAAAGTGTTGCTGAGTGGCGAATTGAATTCTTTGTCAGAAAGTGTTGCTGGGTGTTGAATTGAATTCTTTGTCAGAAAGTGTTGCTGGGTGGCGAATTGAATTCTTTGTCAGAAAGTGTTGCTGGGTGTTGAATTGAATTCTTTGTCAGAAAGTGTTGCTGGGTGGTGAATTGAATTCTTTGTCAGAAAGTGTTGCTGGGTGGTGAATTGAATTCTTTGTCAGAAAGTGTTGCTGTGTGTTGAATTGAATTCTTTGTCAGAAAGTGTTGCTGGGTGGCGAATTGAATTCTTTGTCAGAAAGTGTTGCTGAGTGTTGAATGGAATTCTTTGTTGGAATGTGTTGCTGAGTGGTGAATGGAATTCTTTGTCAGAAAGTGTTGCTGAGTGGTGAATTGAATTCTTTGTCAGAAAGTGTTGCTGAGTGGTGAATGGAATTCTTTGTTGGAAAGTGTTGCTGAGTGGTGAATGGAATTCTTTGTCAGAAAGTGTTGCTGAGTGGTGATACAAACGGCATCGAAAGACGACAACGTTTGGCCGTGACGTAGACGAGACTACTGAAGTCGGAGATATTTGTTATAGTGTGGTGTTAAACGGAACGAACCTAACCATTAGCTTAAATTAAGGTTAATTCCAACTCGGTAAAAACTGTGCAGGCAGATTTTTAAATCCTGAGATAACCTAGGGCCCTTAGTGGATCATCTCATTGGAATTTCAGTTTGTGCACGGCGGGCTGATATTTTCGTGTGCACACGAAAGCACTGAAAGCAACTGTTTAAATTATAATACATTTTTTCCCCTCTGCTAAAACAACCTTTAGGGTCGTGACATTTGTATAATAAATTGTCCCAGAATCCCTCATAAATATTCTATTTTTGATGAGACCCAGACGCTTTGAGTGTGTTTCTCATACAAGGTGATAATTGAGTGTTTGATAGCAATCTGGTGCAAATTGGCGTAAGGGAATGACGATTGGCGTGTTTTGTTAAAAGATTAATATTATTTTTAGTTTTAGTTTTTTTTTAAGCTGATGATTAGATAATCATTATAATTTAAAAAAGCGACAACATCCATTTGAGATTTGTTCATGTGCCTCACTAACGACAACGGTGAATTCCTTTACGACATAATCTCAATGCGTGCACGTGGCTGTTATTTAAACCGCCGAAAGAGTCCAGCCAAGTTAAATTAATCGTGTCGTACGAGACGTGACGGACCAGGTGTCGTACGAGACGTGACGGACCTGGTGTCGTACGAGACGTGACGGACCAGGTGTCGTACGAGACGTGACGGACCAGGTGTCGTACGAGACTTGACGGACCAGGTGTCGTACGAGACGTGACGGACCAGGTGTCGTGGCTCGTTTTGCAGTGAGTCTCGCGTGAATGTAAATTCCAACATTACAAACTTCTTCGCCTGAGTCAAGTGAAGCTAGTGGATTGGTTTGATGTTGCTGTGTAAAAAAAAACAACAACAACCAAAAAGACATTTTTTTTTACTCTCTTTAAGTTGGGTCGCTCCAACTGATTATGTGTGCAAGTTCACTGTCATCTAAAATTCCAATCGTCTCCTCTGAGAAATAATCACGACACTCTGAACGGGAAGCAACCGTTTGCATACAATCATGCAGGCGGTAAATTCAAGAGCTTACCGGAAATAACATGATGGATCTTTAAGTTAATCTTAAGAGCCTTTTGTCTTTAGACTTTTGCTTCATATCACTCAGACGAGTTATGGACTCATTTGTTAGAGTTTTGGTGAATTATCAGAAACTAAAAAAAAATAAAAATAACGTGGTAATATTTTGTTTTTGTGAAAGTTGGGTTTGTGAATGTTGGATTAGTAACAAGTTGGGTTTGTGAAAAAGTTAGGTTGTGAAAGTTGGGTTTGTGAATGTTGGATTAGTAACAAGTTGGGTTTGTGAAAAAGTTAGGTTGTGAAAGTTGGGTTTGGGAAAGTAGGGTTGGGAAAAAACTGGGCTTGGGAAAAAGTTGGGTTTGTGAAAGTTGGGTTTGTGAAAGTTTGGTTGGGGAAAAAGTTGGGTTTGTGAAGTTGGATTTGTGAAAGTTGGGTTTGGGAAAAAGTTGGGTTTGTGAAAATTGGGTGTGTGAAAGTTGGGTTTGGGAAAAAGTTGGGTTTGTGAAAGTTGGGTTTGGGAAAAAGTTGGATTTCTGAAAGTTGGGTGAAAATAAGGTTTGTGAAAAGTTAGATTTGTGACATTTAGATTTGTGAAAATGTTGGGTCTGTTAAAGTTGGGTTTTTGAAAAGTTAGATTTGTTACATTTGGGTGGGGGCGTTCGTTTTTGAAAAATTGCAGCAGGAACATATTTTTTTAAAGTATTGTAAAATGAAAAAATAATTGAATTATTTTGCAAACTACTTAATTAAACGATTGCATCGGTGTCAAGGGCAACTTCGATAATGTATTAGTCTCCTCTAGTTTCGTAAAAAAAGGAGATCGATATCAGGAGAACCGTTGTCAGGAGCGAACCTCCTTTCTCAACTTCCTGATTGTAGACAGATCATCAATACAACACTGAACCCAATGACATGTCAGGCGCACTTGATTTCATTTAAACGGTTAACAGTCGGATGTATTTTGTTCACGGATGTCCTTGTAATTAACTAAATTATGTTTTCTCAGTTCTGTGACAGTGTGGCATCGGCTCTGCGAGATTCGTGTCCTATTCTGGATTCGTAAAAAGTCGGTTAAGATCACCCGGATGCTTATCATGTCGAAGTTTCTTAATAGGTTAGAAACTACAAGGACACCACCATAGAAAAATACACTGCTTCTCAAACTGATGATGTGCTACATATTGCAATCACATTTTAAGTGCTGTTGCGGGGAATTGAAAAAAAAAAAAAATTTCAAGGAGATCGCGTCATTCTGGCAGGTTTGGTAGGATTTTGCCAGCATGTGGTGTACTGCCCATGTGAGGCAATTTGTCGATTAGATGACAGGATGAAGTTACGTTTCATGAGACGACAGAGTTGAAAATAACTACTTCTCAACTAACTATATGCATCTCCAGAATAGGCCAACAACTCCTTTTCCCCGTGTCGCTGCTTACCTGAATCTCGATGTTATTTTGTCCTGAGAATGAATTATATTCTTTTATTCGTTCTCATTTAATTTTCATTTATTAACTTTTGAAGAAAAAAAAATTGAAATTTTGTCAAATAAGAATTCGAAATTACCGATTTTTAAATGTGCATTCTTTGATAAATCTGATATCTGAATAAGCCATCAATTCTCCTGCAATTCTTCTTGTTTAGCTCTACTTCCGGTGGTGGTTCAGGGATAGGATAAAGTGGAACATTAAAAGTTGGACGAGGCTGGGGGAAGGATTGCGTTAGATGAATGATACGAACGATTAAATTTTGTGATTGTTTTCTCAAACTCTTCTTTTGTAATCAAATCGGAATAAACCAACAACACTTTCCTATCTTTGACGTTTGCTGCGATGGCGGCACACATTCCTCGAGATATCGTCCTTGCGCCACTTTTGTTAAATAACATTTATGTAAGCATTAGCATCATGTTATGTTGTTGTTTTTTTTTCATAGAAACTCTAAAATAAAGTCTTGTAAAATTTGTTTCAATTATTTGATTTTATTGGGTAATGTTTAAAAAGACGAGTGGAAGCTAATGGGACCTCCTGACTCTTGAGCTAACTGTGTGAATACGTGACATGCAGGGAGAATAGCATTGAACCCCTGGATCTAGTGACGCAAGATTGTTCTGATAGTTTCAATACCTGACATGCAGGGAGAATAGCATTGAACCCCTGGATCTAGTGACCCAAGCTTTTTCTGATTGTTTCAATACCTGACATGCAGGGAGAATAGCATTGACCACGGTGACGATGCTCATCAAAGTTGTATTACCCTCAGGATGGGCGAAAAAGAGAAGGTTGGCTACTCCTAGGAGTGGTAACAGTATGATGGTGGCCTTAATAGCTTTCCTGGAGGAATGAAAGTTGATTTTAAAAAATCGGAAAAGGATAAAAATTAACGAAATAGAAAGAATGGATTTTGGGGAGGCATGCCAAATACGTTATCTAAATTTAAGGATACATTTTCAAAATCTAAAGCATTCTTACTCAACAGCACAATTTTTACCGATATATTTTAATCACGTCAATTTATTTACACTATGACGCTATTTTTTTTACGAATATCCGTGGGCCAATGTCACGTCTCTATGACTCTATGTCATATAATCACGTGACAAGAGCCTATTTTATATAGAGTTAGTTTATTATATGACTTTTTCGTCCTTGTTAAATGTCTCCCCATGATGATCGTTCTAGTGTAAATCAAGTAGGAAGACATGGCCAACGCTGAGAGCTCCCTGTTTTGGCTTCAAAAGCTTTGTGTACAATTTCAGCCATTTAACGGACTTCCTAAAGTTGGTAAAACCTGTTATGGACATGTTAGTTTTTGGTCAAATTTCTAAGGACTGTCCATAAATTTAAGGTCGACGGGTAACGCTGGGCCCTGGGTTTGGGACACAATCGTTGCTGGGGACCCAAACATTCTATGCCACGCCAGACAAGTGGCGATGTGTTCCAACGAGAGCGTAGACTAAGCATGTGACAGTGTTTCTCAGTCATGGGGGCTACGTTGAATGATTTGTACAACGTTTCGTAAACATAGAAAAACATCGATCTGATACGATCTTATTTTTAATACATCGATCTGAATTTATATCTATAAAAAAAATCCCACATAAACACTTATAGCTGGTTTGTTTTAAAATATCGCGAAAATATTAGCTTTGCTGGAACACTGTCTACTTTCATTTTTTTTTTTTTAATTTATAGTTTTATTATTTTTAAATGGTGCACTGGGTGCTGTTGCATATTTTATTTTAACTTAAAATTGTTTTCTTTTAACATGAAATGAATACTCGGTTTTTGGATTTTTTCTTCGAACATCTCAATTCGAGCCACTGTGAGACCACTTCAACGTTCAAAATCATTTCCATTTTTTTACAACATAATTGGTAGCGGAGAACCTTGTCGGTCATAGGATTTAGTTGTAGTTTTGTTTGCTTTTTTTTTTTTTTTTACAAATTCTGAGACTCCTCGTTCTCCGTGGTTTTTTGTGTCACAGTTCTCTTGTTAATACGCAGCCACCAGGGTGGATTCTTGGCTTTATCTTGCCCCCGTCCTAAGGCAGATATTGGAAATCTCAGCTTTTTTTGATTTTTTTTTTTTTTTTTTTTTTTTTTTTTTTTTTTTTTACAAATTCTGAGACTCCTCGTTCTCCGTGGTTTATTGTGTCACAGATCTCTTGATAATACGCAGCCACCAGGGTGGATTCTTGGCATTATCTTGACCCCGTCCTAAGGCAGATATTGGAAATCTCAGCATGATCACTATATGTTGTTCTTGGCGTTTATGCCAGGCAAGTAGACCGCCGAACACGAGGCTTCCCTACAGGAGGCTTGGCGGTGCAGACTTGGAAAAGGTTTACTTTAAGCCGGCCGCCAGCACCTCGAGGGAGAAGAGGATGAGCTAGGGGTTTTGTTGTATTTTTAACCGTCATTTGACACAGTTTTCGGTGGCATGAAAGTAATCGATAAACGAACTCTCTCATCCGACAAATCTGGTCAAGTATTTTGGTCAGTGCTTTTCGTTTCAGGTTAGAAAAATGACGTCAGTTTAATGAATGATGTCCGTTTAATGAATGATGTCAGTTAAATGAATGATGTCAATTTAATAAATGATGTTAGTTTAATGAATGATGTCAGTTTGATGAATGATGTCAGTTTAATGAATGATATCAGGATAATGAATAATGTCAGTTTAAAGAATGGCGTCAGTTTAAGGAATGATGTCAGTTTAATGAATGATGTCAGTTTAATGAATGATGTCAGGATAATGAATGATGTCAGTTTTGATGAATGATGTCAGTTTAATGAATGATGTCAGTTTAATGAATGATGTCAGGATAATGAATGATGTTAGTTTAATGAATGATGTCAGTTTGATGAATGGCGTCAGTTTAATGAATGATGTCAGTTTAATGAATGATGTCAGTTTGATGAATGGCATCAGTTTAATGAATGATGTCAGTTTAATGAATGACGTCAGTTTAATGAATGATGTCAGGATAATGAATGATGTCAGTTTAATGAATGATGCAAATTTCACTCGTAGCTCATAACATTATGTTACGATGAGATTCTAACAGACACATTCTGTGTTTATAAACCGCATTTACGTTGCTAGATACCTGCTTGATATGATCAAATACTATGAGATTATCTCCACTTTATCACCATGAAATGCATGATACTTATAAGCAATGTTCCCTCTAAGGTTTGTTGGTTCGTGCGCAAAATCACAAAGTTGTGTGCAAATTTTTACAGCATCAATTTTTTTTGTGCCTAAAATTTTTACAGCCTACAGACACAAACACACACTTAAGTGGAAATTAGCTGCTCGGTACTCAAAACTGCTGCGCGGCATCTGTGAGATTGCTTATGAGGATCCAATATTTTGTTGTTGAAAAAATTCTAACTGAAATTTCCTGCGACAAGTTTATCATGAAATTTCACGAGAGTATCTGACGTCATTCAAATCAGATCTTCTGATACAGAGTGTTATTGAGAATAATCTTTCAATCACATCGCTTTTCAAACCACTAACACTTGATATTTGAAAAGAATTGGAATACACCTTAACTTTTTACATAGTTTGTCATATGTTAATTAATTGATCTCATTTTACTGGACTATAAAATAACAATGACGTAGATTTTTAAAAATAATTTCACACATTCAGGAAAGTCACCCGATGATTTCATTTTAAAGGGCCTAATAAATGAAGTATTTAAAACTAAGCTTCAACAAGAAGTAGTTACATTCTCCAAAATCAGCCTTTAGCTGACGCGTTGCCAATGAAATTAACTTATTTGTCTTTTAACAAACAATCCTAAAATTTATGGCGTCGCCACAAGGCCACAAGGCCACTAACACACCGTGATTCACAGTGTGAAGATATGCACGCAACATTTTATAGACTTGACAACTAGAAGAAATTTAAATATCCATTAAACTTAAATTAAGTTATCTCAGTGGAACACATCTATATCCCTTGCACATACGAAAACCTAACATAAATAAACAGTATCATAGCAATATCATAGCAATATCATAGCAATATCATAAAGCCATTTATAAGCCAAGACATACGTGAAAGAAGGAATATGAGACACTTAGTTACCGTATTCTCCTTGATTCCATACGATTGTTACATCTGAGTTTGACAACCAAGACACGGATGATGTTCACCAGGAAGGCACAGTTGATCTAGAGATACAGCAAAGAATTCTCATTGACATCCACCCATTTCTTTCACAGATTTCTACAATATTATCTCCCATACGAGCTCGGCAAGCCGGTGTAAAATGGCGTACTGGTGGGCCGCAAGACGATGCTAGGTGTGCCGCGTCAAAATTAAGCCAAAGGCATTTTTAAAAAATAAAAAAATTAAAAATTAAAAATTAAAGACAATATACATTTGTTGAACCAGAAGGGAGAATCTTTGGCTAAGTAACAAGCTGTCAAAGATTTCGAAGCCAAACAGAACAGCACAAATGCATGTTTAAATTTGGCTGGTCAACATCTCATGTCTCAAGGTGGCTGAAGCGACCAGTAAAAAGACATCTATCTAGCCCACGCCTTTAATCACACGCTCTTCGCGCGTGTACTGCGTTATACTAGCACTAGGTGTTGATTTTTTTTTTAACACTTCAGTAACATTTCATCACCGACAAATAACAACAACACCAACACAAAACTAACCCCGATACCAATAGGAAGTGGCGTGGGAAGGTGGTTGGGGCATTTGAGCGCGGGCACTTTGGGCTAACTACGGCTTACAAGGGGACGGCAAAAATAGTGTGCCTCAGAAATATGTGAATAGGTGTGCCGCGGAAATCTGGGATTGCTCTAGGTGTGCCACGGAAATCTGGGATTGCTCTAGGTGTGCCACGGAAATCTGGGATTGCTCTAGGTGTGCCACGGAAATCTGGGATTGCTCTAGGTGTGCCACGGAAATCTGGGATTGCTCTAGATGTGCCACGGAAATCTGGGATTGCTCTAGGTGTGCCGCGGAAATCTGGGATTGCTCTAGGTGTGCCGCGGAAATCTGGGATTGCTCTATGTGTGCCGTGAGGTAAAAAAGTTTTCGGAGCACTGATCAACAGAGTGCATGTAAAGCCCCGCACGTCACAGTGAAATAATGAAGGCGAGAAATGTTTTAGAAAGTCTTTTAACACAAGCTTCAATTACTCAGATAATACTATTTAAAAACTGAGATTTAAACGTTTCGGCCAAATGCTTTCATCGGTGAAATAACAAAAACAACAATTGCATAAATGTATATTAGATTTTAAATGAGATATTCCCGAATTATTCAATGAGAACTGAAAGGCTTGGTTTTTATTTTGTCTATGAACTGATGTCAAAATACACTGTTCACTTTCATGATTTGTTTGTGTATCAATTTAATTAAGCTTGATGGCAGTATGATATATTTTTTTTTTTAAATGTATATTTTGGAGTATCACACATTATCAGTGCCGTGATAAGCTGATCATATATAAAGACAAAATGAGCCCGAAAATTTGTGCAGTGTCAACGAGGGGGTCGAATTTCATTAGTTTAAGAACCCAACATTATCGATGGCCATTGTGATTGTAACTTAATACAGGAAAAATGTCTGTTATATTGTGGGGCGCATGTCTGTTATATCGTGGCACGCATTCCTATTAGCTCACTCAAGCTGCCCTATTTTCGTCTGGATGCGATAACTCATCTTTATCGTGACAAGACCTAATCCGTAATCATGATAATAAACTGATTTAAGGTGCATGCATCAACTAACGGAACCGAAGACATGTCGTGAAAATTAAACCCTGCATGACGTTGCTTCATTCAATAATATCAACACATGATCGTGTGCTGAGAGGATATCCATTTTCTGATTTACAAATTAAAACGACGTTAATGTTATTTTAAATGAATGGTTTGTGAATTCAAATTAACGAAATCATTTTTATAGAACAAATATTACAACACTGTTGTTATGAAGTTATGTCCTCAAAGAGATCGAGGAAGACAATTCAGGCTTAGTAAAGAAATATTTAGCTGCCCCACGGAGATTGCATACGACATGAAGTATTTCAACCGACAGATTTATGGTTAATAAGGGGAGGGACTTCAATCAGATTGGTGAAGATTTACGCTACCTAAACACAAATCATATTTTTACAAAAATCTTATACTGACCACGCAAAATAAATACGTTGAGTTAAAAAATCGGGTAACTACATACAAATGTGTAGATATTTATGCTCTGAAAGCATTGATACGAATAAACTCATTGTTGTACATGAGATCGACTAAGGACGTCTATCCATGAATCTTGAAATAAAATGCATCACTTAAAATCTCAGTTTGTGACGTTGAAGAATCGCAGACTGTATTTATTGTTCACATAAAATTTTTAAGGATGCTTTGTGTAAATAGGCGACAATGTATCTTTATGTTCCATGGCCCTGTATCTTTTATCATAATCACTGTTAAATTATTGATCATGTGGGACAAAAAGGGTGAATTTGGGGGGGGGGGAATATTGCCTGCGCACTTTAGGGAATTATCCTGTAACCGGACGTTATCCACTGGGTACAATAATGGCGGAGTTGTGCGCAGACAAGCAGATCATCATAAAATCAACCGTCTGTTCCTTTCTTGTCCCGGCCCGCGTGACACAGACACTAACAGGTCATATGGTCAAGACTACATTTTTTTTACAGTGTGACAGATTTCTGCCAGGACAACCAGCCTCATCAGAATTCTCTCATCCTCTGGTTCCTGGACTACGGTTATAAGCGATCACTGGCGGTTTTTCTGTTTTATGATGGCTCTTGATTGGCATAACTCATTAGAAATAAAAACTGGAGTCGCGGAGTCTGGGATACGAAATTTTTTTTTTTTTTGCTAGAACAAAAATTATGATTTTTTTTTTTACAAAACAAAACAAAGTCGCGAATTAAAGTTTCTTAAAGTCAATTATTTATCAAATAAAATACAATCGTAGCCATATTAGACTATTAATGTTGAAATTATTTATTTTTTTCAGAATCTCTCATCCAATTAGAGCAGTGACAAAGATCTACTCAGTCTTCTGATATCATTTCTAATGCCTTTTCGTTTAACTTTCCCCTTAACAACTTTCAATAGAAAGCTGGATTGCATCGGTTAGCAGTTGACGATGTGGATCTTGCCAATGATCCAATCAACGCAACGTAAACTCGCAGGAATAATCCACACGTGATTCGGCATTGATAGCAGCTACTTCTATAATCGCTAGCGAAACGCAAAGACAAAGTTCACCATCTAAAGTACTTACAATTGCTACTTCCATAATCGCTAGTGAAACGCAAAGGCAAAGTTCACCATCTAAAGTACTTACAATTGCTACTTCCATAATCGCTAGTGAAACGCAAAGGCAAAGTTCACCATCTAAAGTACTTACAATCAGAGCAAGGAAAATAGGAATAAAGATGATGAAGACGAATCCTTTCTTAGCGTAATCATTCCAGCAGTCTTCCCCGTGGTACTGGTACATGAGACCTGTCCATACACCAGTGAACACAAGTGGGAGGCCTGGGAATTCAGGGGAAAGGAAATAGATGTTGTCATGTTATTCAATAGGCAAAAATTTTAAAAAAATACAAAGTTGAAATGACGCTAATCCCTACATATTGATGAAAATCCTTTATTTTTGTGTGTCGTGAAATCATGTCTACTCAGGGATCAAGAGCACATGAAAGACCCAAAAATACCTGCCGAAGAGAAGTTGACAAGGATTAATTAACAAAGGCTGGCAATAATGATACAAAGAGATAAATAAAGAGAAGTCGACGAGAATTATATAATGAGAATTCTAGAAGGATGATATAAAGAGACGTCTAGAAGGATGATATAAAGAGAAGTGTAGAAGCATGATATACAGAGACGTCTAGAAGGATGATATAAAGAGAAGTGTAGAAGGATGATATAAAGAGAAGTCTAGAATGCTGATGTAAAGACGGGAGAGAGTGTGAAATTTAGAGAATCCAAGATATCGGATGGCTAGGAACTAAATTGTTAAGGGCCGATGGCTCCATTTAGAGTTGGAGATGCAAAGTCGAAGAAAGCTCGACTCGTTTACTCGGGTCCCTCAGTTGACACTTATAATCATGCAGCTTATAAACTTCATGGCAGAAATTCCACGTTTGTTCAAGGTTAACCTAATGTCAGATTTCTTTGCTTTTATATTGTGCATCGTAAAAAAAATGGTCTGACTTATAAGCGGGAGACGATTTTAAACATGCTTAACTCGACGACGTATATACTAGCAAGTGTACCCGGTTCTTCTGGGGATTTTTTATTCGGAAAACAATCTCTGAAGCGTTATCAACGTATACATTAATAGAAGGATTGAAGGTCACGTCAAAACGCTCTGCTAGAGTACCAATTATGATTTTAAAAATTATCATTTACTTGGCCAGATTCATAATAACTCTTGTAAACATTGAATTTAGGGCTCACCGATTTTCAGTCAGTGATCAAGGTGGAAATAGCAAAGCTCATGATTTAAAGAGAAATGCAACTTTTAGCAGATGCCTTATTCAAAAAGGTATTCACCAAGTTTATCAATTAAAATAAATAGGACCCTTAATATTGAGCAGGAAATCATACCAAAAGGTGGCCATGTTAATGTTATTTTATTTATAAGATGGTGTTGTTTTTCTCTGTTCGTCCTTCGCAGGCGAAGATTACCAAGGCTGTATTACACTGTGAGTACACAGATGGCCTGCCAGTCCTTAATGTGCCGGGAAAGCTTTCCCCGCAACTTGGGACTCACGTTGTCTTGGCTCCTAGTTGGATTAGAGGAGATTTCGCTTTTTTCTTGCCCTGCGCTTTCTTTGGGCGTGTGCCGTGCGCTTATTCTCTGAGGAGTGTGCTCTGACAGTGAGCCTGCCACATAAGCTTGCACGGTCCATGGCCAGTGTCTACCGCGAGTCAAGGTCAATGTTCATGGATTTAAGTGAAGTTAAAAACACAGTCCTTGAATTGTTTTTTTTTTCCCAGCCCACCGACTTAACGTTTCCCCCTGGAGAGTTTACCGACAATTTTATTTTAGTTATAAGATAGAGGCAATATAACAATCATTCAGATAAAATTTCAATTTCATTATTCAAAACAGTCCAATGTAAATCGGGAAAAAAATTCGGGTCCGAATAGCGGCTAAGCGTGTTCGGTTCCTTTAGACCAAATGCTATTCGGATGTCATTTGTGGTAGTTTTTTTAAGTTAAAATGAAGAAGTAAGTTTAAAAAAATATAGTCCATTTAATTATTGTTCATTTGATACCTAATTTTTTCTTTAAAACTCTACAATAATATGTATAATATTTTTTTTTAAAAACCCAAACTCTCACTTTTGATACCCGGGTTCAAATAGCCGCAGCCATAATTAAAATGTGCATGACTTTACTGAACCTAAAAGTTGTTTCATTACGTGTCCATTTTTGTTGATAGTTGCTTGGTTGCGGTTGGGATTAGTTGGGAAATTTTCAAGTAAAAATATTTAAGCAAGGTTGGTTTGCGTTGTGGACAGAGGACAAACAAGAATGGGATGGGTTAAAGAAAGGGGTTTGGAGGAATAAGATGTGTGACATCGCGATGTAGAAGAGAACGTGCAGGATTGGTGAGCAGTTGGTTCGGGGGATAAAAGGAGAACAACACAATGTAATCTATGATGAAGGCTGTGGGGAGAAATCATTGGGGTGCGAGCCTTTGTGGTGGATGCCATGGGGTGGATTCCTTTGTCGTGGATGCCTTGGGTGGATGCCTTGGGTGGATGCCTTGGGTGGATGCCTTGGTAGGATGCCTTGGGTTGGATGCCTTGGGTGGATGCCTTGGGTTGGATGCCTTGGGTAGATGCCTTGGGTTGGATGCCTTGGGTGGATGCCTTGGGGTAGATGCCTTCGTTGTATGCCTTGGGTTGGATGCCTTGGGTGGATGCCTTGGGGTGGATGCCTTTGTGGTGGATGCCTTGAGTGAATGCCTTTGTGGTGGATGTCTTTGTGGTGAATGCCTTTGTGGTGGATGCCTTGGGTGGATGCATTGGGTTGGATGCCTTGGGTGAATGCCTTAGTTTTGATGCCTTGGGTGGATGCCTTGGGTTGGATGCCTTGGGTGGATGGCTTGGGTGGATGCCTTGGGGGGATGGCTTGGGTGGATGCCTTGGGTGGATGGCTTGGGTGGATGCCTTGGGTGGATGCCTTGGGTGGATGCCTTGCGGTGGTTGCCTTTGGGTGGTTGCCCTTGGGTTGGAGGCCTTGGGTTGAAAACCTTGGGTTGTATGGTTTGGGTCGGCAGAGGAGGTAGTAAATAGGCATCAATGATAGCAAGTGCTTTGGTCAGAAATGAAATCTTAAATGGATACTCAGGGTGCGATATTTTTTAAAAGTGTCATCCCATTTTCATGTCTGCTCTGTCTACAAAGAGTAGGGGTGAGCATTCTTCTGTTCAGAAGGCCGTGGGATCATTCCCGTGATTGATCAATGGATATTTAATTTTAATGTGATTATTATTCTTACAGTTTGAACATTTTCTCCTGTGATTATTAATGTTCAAAGGCTTTTGAAGATCATCAATCGCAGCTTGAAGATTTTAAGAACAATAAATCCAGTTTTAATAATGCCTTAGGGTAGAGATTAAACGTTTCAGCGGGTCGCATGTGGCCCGCGGGCCATCTCCACACGCCACTGACATAGAGATAGAATAGAGAGCCAGAAGATCACCAATGTCCTATGACATAGAGTTAGAATAGAGAGCCAGAAGGTCACCAAAGTCGTATGAAATAGAGATATAATAGAGAGCCAGAAGGTCACCAAAGTCCTATGACATAGAGATAGAATAGAGAGCCAGAAGGTCACCAATGTCCTATGACATAGAGATACAATAGAGAGCCAGAAGGTCACCAAAGTCCTATGACATAGAGATAGAATAGAGTGCCAGAAGGTCACCGAAGTCCTATGACATAGAGATAGAATAGAGAAACAGAAAGTCACCGAAATCCTGCTATAACACTGCTATTTACAATTGAAGCCATGGGACCTTGTATAATTGGAAGCCATTGGTGGTTCAATTACCTCGCAGCTGAAAATGGGACCAGGGAGTCATTTAGTTTCCTTCTAATAAAGTCTTATCACCACCAGGAATTTTTTTGTTATCCTTGCCGACACTAGAACATTGGGCTGTCATCAGTTGTATGGACAAAAGGCGGCCTGTGTCAAATCTAAAGTTAATTTTCAAATTGATAAAATAATTTATATCAAATTCTCAAACACACAGAAATGTTTTCAAATGGGTAATTTTAATTATATATATATATATATATATATATATATATATATATATATATATATATATATATATACACACATGTATATAAACACACACATATATTTATAAATGTAGATTTTTTAATATATATATATATATATATATATATATATATATATATATATATATATATACGCACAGGTATATTAAAATTTTTTAATAGATTATGGTCCTTGGATGCTTCCTCTAAACTAATCTACATCCTATTTGAGTAATGATTTCATAACACAAAGAAATAGTGTGATAACTTTAAACTTTTAACAGTAACCTCTTTAACAATGTAAGATGAGAGGGAGATATTTGTTAAAGAAGAACATTAATTTTGGAGCTTAATTTCAGGACAACCAAAGACAATGAATAAGATTAACACCACATTAACTTATTCCAGTAAATATAAAAATAAGATCGTTCTGTTTATGAGAGCAGTTATAAGATCGTTCTATTTATGAGAGCAGTTATAAGATCGTTCTATTTATGAGAGCAGTTATAACATCGTTCTATTTATGAGAGAATTTATAAGATCGCCCTGGTTTTTTTAGCGCAGTATGTCTCCCTTACTTAAAAACTTCATTGTCCTTGAAGTACTGCATGGAGCAACGAATTACCGTAAGAGCGTCCGTAATGCTTGACTATCCAGACACAAATACCTCATCACGCAAGCGATGTCCTCCAACAATCCTCTTAGTACTCGTAGCTTTTCTTTTAACTCAGGGAAGATGTATTTTTGTAAAAAAAAGGCCTTTAATATAGAATCCTTTAATATAAGTGGCTCTCTTTGTTACCGGAAAGGTCAATTTCAGGGCAGTTTTTTTTCAATTTTTTTCATTTAAAAAAAACAAAACTTTTCAATATTACTTTACTCTCTACAATTCGTTTGCAGCCCTATCGGACACTACTTCTCAGCTAAGTGCTAAATATTTTTTAAAAAAAAAGTTATTCTGTTTATTTATGTTGCTTGTTCGCCGACGAAGGCTTCCTGCCGACGCCTTCGTTGTTCTTTTGCGCTCCCTTTTCCTGGTTTGATCTTATGTTGCTTTACTAATTTCCTATTTTGCTAAACTGATTGCAGTCACTCCCCTTATTAACCCTTAGTTTACGCAACGAGCCTTTAGT